CTTGCTTTAAATAAATAATAACATGCAAATGTTGAATATTACATACAGAATTATATTAATGCAAAATTCTGGTTTTAGGTCCAGGTCACCCACATGTGACCCTTCAGGTTATTCACGACCTCTGAAGTAACAATAGATGAAGGAATGATAATTTGATATATTTCTTCATCTATTGTTACTTCGGATGCCTTGATTAAGCACTCAGAAATACTAAGAACAACTACCTAAATATAAAAGTAAATATTGATTCTTGAATGTGCGGAGTCTACAAAGTCTCTAATTTACTAGATGAACAAAGTCTCAAGTAGTATGGGAGTTAAACTCCAACTCGATTCATGGATGAAGTAGAAAAATAGTGTGAGGTTTTTCTTATTTCCATTTCAAACCGCAGATGAGCTTATTTTCTTTAGGATATATTTTTGATCTATATTTTTAAGAATAAAAGGTTTTCAAAGTGTAATATTGGTAATAAATACTCTTGACGAAGTCTTAATATTTTATTTCTCTTGATTAAACACTCAGAAAGACTAAGAACAACTACCTAAATATAAAAGTAAATATTGATTCTTGAATGTGCGGAGTCTACAAAGTCTCTAATTTACAAGATGCGCAAAGGCGCAAGTATAATGGGTAGTATGGGAGTTAAACTCCAACACGATTCATGAAAGAAGTAGAAGGTGAGGGTTTTTCTCATTTCCATTTCAAACCGCAGATGGGCTTATTTTCTTTTGGATATATTTTTGTACTATATTTTTAAGAATATAAAAGGTTTTCAAAGTTTAATATTGGTAATAAATACTCTTGACAGAGTCTTAATATTTATAATTTGTTATATTATATTTCAAAAGTTCTTCTAAATTTGTTTCTGGTCATTTTTGAGTGTGGCTTAAGTTTTATTTTTGTGACCTAACTATTGTGTTATGAATTTAAATAAATATATAACACTATACATGTATTTTGTTTATTTTAATATTTACGATGTTTATGTTTTGATTTAGTAACAATAAAATAAAGTAATTTAAAATATCTTTACTGTCAAATATGGCGGAAAGTACTTAGCTCCAAATTCAAAATTTGAATAAAAAATTTAATACATAATTATGTATCTTAAAATATCTATAAATAAGACAACAAATGACAAAATATAACAATGATAAAAATATAATCTAATTATAGAAAAATTATTTGAATTATATCAAATTGTTTCAACACAATTATTATGTGTATAAATAAAATAATAAATATTTGTATAAAAATCTTTATAAAAGTCTTAAATTTAAAATTATTCACTTTTTAATAACATTTTTGTTTTTATTTGAATTTTCTGTTCGAAAGACAAATATATAACTTGTGTTATATATTTTATCCCATTATTTATTGTTATTATTATTTATTCTTATTCTCTCCCATGTTAAAAAAATATAAAGATGTATTTTTCTCCTTCCGTAAACAGCAGAAAAATTTTGTAAATTGTGATTATTTTTTCACAAAGTATACCAACAAATTATTATTTAGATAAAAATAAAAAATTTAATAATAATAATAAGGATAATAAAAACAATTAAATTTAGAGTGTATTATTTAAAAGAGAAAAAATTAGCATTCTATATCCTCCCCTCTCAAGTTTCTACTTCGGGAAGTTAAAACAGCAAAAAATTTGTATAAAGTGATATTTTCTTCACAAATTACTTCAACAAATAATTATTTAGATGAAGATAAAAATTTAAGGATAATAATATTAATAATGATAAAAACAATAAAATGTAAATAAAATTAGAGAAGTCACAAGATTTATATTTATTAAAGTAAAAGTTAATAAATACATATTTTGTACCTTTTTTTTTAATGTGTTTTATGTCAACATTTATCAATACAAGATATAACAAATAATAATAACAATACTATACAAGTAGATTACATGTATTATTTAAAAAAGAAAAAATTAGCATTCTAGATCCTCCCGCCTTAAGAAATGCCTAAAGGTGGATTCTTAAGAGACAAAAGAAAGAAATCTGTATTGCTTAATATCTAGAACTGAAATGCGCAAATATATTTCTTTTGCTATGTATAAAAAAAGAAGTATTAACAGTTATAACAATAAACTAAACGTAAGTGGCATTTTGCCTTAAGTCAAATTGCAAAAACTTTATGATAAGTGTAAATAATCAACTGAACAGATTTAAATAGATATTTAGCAACTTTTAAAATTTGTCTAATAATAATAATAATAATATACAAGTTAAAGTGTATTATTCAAAAGATGGAAAATTAGCATTCTAGAACCTCTCCCCTTAAGAAATGCCTAAAGGTGGTTTCTTAAAGAACAAAACAAAGAAATCTGTATTTCTTGATATTTAGGACTGGGATGCATAAATGTATTTCTTTCGCTACACAGAAAAGTAGAAGTATTAACAATTATAACAATAAAACTAGATGTAAGTGTCATTTTGCCTTAAGTCAAGTTGCAAAAAACTCCTGATATGTGTAAATAATCAACTGAACAGATGCAAATAGACAATTAGCAACTTTTAAAGCTCGTCAAGATAAAATAAGAAAATTAGCATTCTAGATTCTCCCCCCATTAAAAATGCCTAAAGGTGTCTCTTGTCCCTTTCTTAAGGTCAAGACAAAATAAGAGTATGAAATTTTAAAACTTGATATAACAAATAATAATAATAATATACAAGTATTCTTTAAAAGAGAGAAAAATAGCATTCTAGTTCCTCCCCCCTTTAGAAATGCCTAAATGTAGTTTCTTAAGAGCCAAGAAAAATAAATCTGTATTTCTTAATATCGAATAAAAATATAAGCATTAACAATTATAACAATAAACTAGACGTAAGTGGCATTTTGCCTTAAGTCAAATTGCAAAAACTTTATGATATGTGTATATAATCATCTTAACCAATAAATATAAGAATTTAGCAGCTTTTAAAATTTGTCAAAATAAGAGTTTGAAATTTTAAAACTAAAATAAATTAATTTTTACAGGCCTGTAATGTTTATTATTTTATTAAACTTTGGTGAATTTTTATAAACAAACCTCTTTTTGTAGGCCTGTAATATTTTAAGATGTTCATTTATACCAGCGGTCAGGAAACTTTTTAATCATTAGAGATTAAGGAGAACTATGTAGCAAATACAGTATTAATTAAAAATAGATACTTTTTACCCCATTTGAGGCAATTTACCCCGGTTCTCTGACCACTGATTCAGACCTTGAACTCAATTAAAATTGAATGACTCGAAATATAAACTTAGCTAATTGGATTTTCTGGTGAAAACATTAACTTCTCTTTTAGAAAATTTTTCACATAAATTTTCCTTACATTTCTTTCTATTTACATGATAGGTTCTTCACTATGCACTTTCATATGATTCTTCAGCATCTGTTGGTACTTAAAAGCCTTCTCACAAATTTTACACTTATGTCTACACTCCCCCGTGTGCGTAACCATATGCACCCTCAAATGTTGGGGCTTCAAAAACCGTTTATCACAAATCTGACAAGAATAATTCCTGATCCCCGTATGCTTCAACATATGTTCATTCAATCTAGCGGCATTTGTGAATGCCATTGTGCACTCCTTACAAGGATAAGGCTTCTCACCTGTATGCTGCCGGACATGCTCAGTTAATTTGTAAGAAAACTTGAAAGCCTTGGAACAAAAATGACATACATAAGGTTTTTCATTAGAGTGTCGACGTTTTATGTGACACTTTAATGAATGATTGACTTTAAATTTCTCACCACAATGTTCACAAGTGTGTCTTTTTTCTATAGAATGGATTTCCATGTGAGCGTATAAAGTTCTTTTGGTTTTGTATGACTTTCCACAAGTTTTGCAAGTATATTTTCTTAAATCACCGTGGGATTCTAGGTGTTCTCGTAGATTTCTACTGGAGGCTAAGACTACACCGCATAGTTGACATAAATGGATTATACTTGAGGTTGGTTTTACTTGTTCACCGGAATGTTTCTTTTTGTGCATGTTTAGGTAGTATAAGGATTTATAACTTTTGTTGCAAGTGGTACATTTGTGTAAATTGTTGGAGTCTTGGGGCTCTTTTTTTATGTCATTATGGATGTTGTATTCACAATTACTGATATTGTCAATATCGTCATGATAACTGTGATTAGAATGATTAGATAGTACATCCAATTCTATAACATCGTCTAATTCTTGTTTTACAATACCAGCATCATTCTGGTCACCTTTAACTTTCTTAACTCTAGTCTTTCGGAAAACCTTACTATTTAACTTTGCATGTACATTTTTGTTTTGCACATCTATCACAACTTTATCATCATCACAAATATTCGTATCAGCATCTTTTTGATCATCTAAAGGCTTAAATTCTTCTTTAATATACACATTTTGTATTTTACCTTTGAGTTTATCCAATTCCTGTAAAGAGTTTCGACACTTCGTCCAAAACTCGTAGGCTTTGTACAAGTCTCGAAGACACAAATCACAAATGTATTTGGGGTACTCGTCGTCTGGGGACACATCGAGGGCTGTACAGGAGATGAACATTTTTAGGATTAAATTCTCATTTTCTGATAATTGTTTTTGTTCGATGAATAAACTTTGTAGGTTTTTGTCAGCTAAACAAGCACGACAAATTGGGGATGAATTAGAATCCATTGTGACAACTATTTCACCAGGATATGATTGTGTTAATATATTATCAGGAATATTTGTTATTGTAGTATCCATTGTTTATTTTTAATTATTTTGCATAATATTAATTTACAAACGTCACTTGTATGAACGACGCCATTGTTGAACGAACTGTCACTTGTATGAACTGAACTTGTCGTTGGAATAACAGCGCCATCTGTTATGTCTTCATAATAATACTTTAATTTTCAAATTTAAAAATAAAACATATGTTTTAAAATATAATAAAGTTAATATGATTATTTATATTTATAACAAGGTATTAGTCGCATTTTGCATTAAGATGAATATGAATAATCTTAAAAAATCAATATATTAATTTGAGAGTGATTTATAACTATATGGAGTGGCTGTGGCGTGCATTGCAAAATTACAAAATTCAAAATTTTATTTCATTATTCCTATTCTATTCAAAAAGAGCGTTTAAACAATACCCCACACGCCATAAAAAGACTATTCGCTCCGAGCGTGACTGCAGCGCCCATGCAGCGCCGTAATAAATATGAACTAATTGGGGGTATCAGTGTGTGGTTTTCATGGGTTTTACATGTTTGTTAAAGAAAAAAGTTATTAAATAATTGTTATAAATAATAATAAACAAGATACAGTAATAATGTGAACGCTGAATGTTTATTGAAATTATTAAATTTACTTCAACGTACTTAAAACATAGTTAAGTATAATGATTAATTAAATAAAGAAATGCAGTAAATATTTGTAAGGTTAATTTATTGACTTATAATTTTTTTTTTCTAAACATAACAATTTTACAACTATTCATAATACTCCAAATTGTATTTTTATAACAATAAGGTTATGATACTTACTTTATTCTTCTAACCGCTGCGATCCACTTTTCCCGTTGATTTTCTTTCCACTTAGCTGTAGAAAATGTATAGAACTTGCAGTCACTTTTTCTGCTGGTATTTCTACAACCCACTACACAACAGACATGGTGGTTCATTTTTAATTATCTTATTTAAATTTGAAATAAATAAATATTTTATGTGTTTTTGTTTAAAATTTTGTTTATATTAGCCCCTTTTAGTGCTCCAAGTTAGCCACTACGAACGCTTCGGTCGATTTGACTTCCCCTTCCATGCCTTCGCACATAGCCAATATACATTTTCTGAAGTAAAACTTTTTCAGATTCATTTACTACATATTCATATAAATTGTATGAAGAAGCCTGTTTTTGACAAATATCTTTCAACTTTTTTTTCTTAACACGTAAATTGGTAGATAGGTATACTGATGGACAGGTAAATTGGTAATTAGACGGATATGTAGACAGGTAAATTGGTAGACGTGTAAAACTAAATGATAGGTAAATTGGTAAACAGATAAATTGGTATACAGATAAACAGATTGACAGGTACATTGGTCGACAAGTAAACTGGTAGACAGGTGAATCAGTAGGCAAGTAAATTGGTTGACTGACAAACAGGTTAACAGGTAAACTGGTAGACAGGTAGAGAGGTAGACAGGTAGAGAAGTAGACAGATAGTCATATGAACAGTTAGAGTGGAAGACAAGAAAACTGGTAAACTATATGCAACAAATAGGCATTTTTGTTCAAATTTTTAATTGACAAGGATTTCTACAGGCATTGATATTTAGGAGTTCATTTATAAAAACTTGAGATATATATTCGTAATTATGTTAAAATATTTGTTATAGATAAACAATATTTCAATAATATAACTGTATATTATTAATACAATTTATTATTAATATTATATTTTATTTAATATGAGCTGTCAAAACTTTTAAATTTGGCGCTGGGGAATTTCATATCAATAAATCAATCTGAAGTTAGTGCCTTTTAGCGCCATGTTTTTACGCCATTTTGACAGTTTTGACAGAAGACAGTCATCTGATTTAATTATTTAATGTAAATAAGTAATAATTAGATTATTTAATGATTCAAACTATGAAATAAACTAAACTAAATATTTATCTACATAATATTCATTATTTATTAATTTATAATATTAAACATGTCAGTAGAAACAAATTCATTAACGATCCAAATAAAAAGTGAACCAGCAGAATCTTCAATGAAAGAGAATGAAATTGATAATTCGTTGGAACTAAATATCAAATCAGAATCATATTCTGAGGATGAAGAAACATGCTCATCAGAAATTAATAAGTTTGATGTGACGAAACAAGAATTAGTAGACATCAAAGAGGAATCTTATACCACATCTGAAACCTTCGAGCATAATCAAGTCACACATAATAATACTTCCTTGAATGAACACATGGATCTTCCCATCGAAAACAAATGTTCGGTATGCCGAAAGGTATGTAATAATTTATTTAATTTAAAAAAGCACATGAGCATACACAGTGATGAAAGTCTCAATGTTGAAAAGAAATGCCCGGTATGCAAAAAAGTGTGTAGTAAATTATCTGATTTAAAAAGGCACATGAGCTCACACAGTGATAAACGTCCCTACAAATGCAACATTTGTAATAAAGCTTTCAAACTACAAGCAAATTTAAAAACACATTCGGAGATTCATACTGGTAAAAGACCTTATAAATGTCACATATGTTTAAGAGCATTTTTACGGTCAGCAGTTTTGAAGGATCACTTAAATATGCACTTGGATAAAAAACCTTTTACATGTGAAATATGCTCCAAAGCATTTAGAAACCAGAAGGCTTTGAATTTGCATGTGAAGACTCATTCTGGAGAAAGGGCTTATAAATGTGAATTATGTAACAAATCTTTTAAAGTCAGCCTAATTTAAGAAGTCATATGCTTACTCATTCTGAGAAACGATCTTATAAATGCTTGGTGTGCAATAAAACTTTCAAAAGACATGAACATCTAAAAATCCATAATGTAATACATTTAGAGAAAAAACCATTTGATTGTGAAATTTGTAATAAAAGCTTCACGACTTCATGGAATTTAAAACAGCACATGGATTGTCACTCTACACCTAAAGACAGTTTTTTAAATGTGGAATATGTGATAAAACATTTAATGCACAAAACACTTTGAAAAACCACATGCAAATCCATTCCAATGATCGCCCTCATAAATGCGAGATATGCAATAAACAATTTCGACGAAAAGATCACTTAAAAGATCACAGGGCTATTCATTCCGAAGAAAGGCTTCATGAATGTGTAGTATGCAAAAAATCATTTAAATGCTCAGCAAATTTGAGACAACACATGAAATATTCATGCGGGGGAAAATAGTTATAAATATAAATAATGTGATAAAGATTTTAATGTCTTAGAGAATTTAAATAGTCATTCTGGAGAAGGGACACAAATGCGAAGGTGTGTAATATACAATTCGTAGATAAACAAGTGTAAATAGATGGGCGCTTTGAAAACACATTGATTTTAGTTCTTTCAACATATCATAGAGGTTGTCATGACCGTAGCACGTAAATTTACTCTTAGGTTTAATTCTAGATAAGATTTATATAAATATCACAATATCATTTATATAAATATCACTTGTTTATCTATGATCACAAGTATAAATAGATAGAATTTTAATTCTTTCAGCAAATCATAGAGGTCGCCATCAACCGTAGCACATATATTATATTTACCATCAGGTTCAATTCTAGATAAGATTTATTTGAATATATAATATAGGAAAGATGAACCTGATTAATTTGACTAAATGAAATGAGAACAAAATATTTGAGTATAAAATATATTTTCAACAAAATCACAAATATGTTATGAAAAATATATAAAGAGAAAACATTTAAACATTTTTTCATTCAAAAAAGAAATATTACAATATATAAAATTGGTTCTTTGGTTATAATTGGAACGTTTAAAGTGTACTATATTTAGAGAGACTGGGTTTTAAAATAAACACTGAATTGGAAGTACACTAGTGCTTGTGTATATCTGTGATATGCTTAGGCATAAATATTATTATATTCTTATTGCAAAAATATATATTCTTATATTAATTGTTAAATTTTATTGCAAACAATATTAAAATGTATGGAATGTAAATATTTTGAATAAAAAACTATGTGATTTATTACTATTACACAATTTTATTGCGTTTTGCATGAACTTGTAGCCAACGAACCTAAAGAAGTTTTACTTCAAAAAATTTAAATTGTCTTATTACGTCATGTGGGGCATTGTTTGAACGGTCATTTTGGATAGAATACGAATACTGAAATAAAATTAGAATTTAACATACAATTTAATATACAAAAATGTTAAATTTTATTGTCAAAATATCCAAATGTGTAAGACATAAAACTTTTATATCAAATTATAAAAAAATTAAACAAAATTCAAGGACGTTTATTGAAAATAGGCACTGTTATTGCTTTTTTATATAAATTTATAGTAAACGAACCTAAACAAGTTTTACTTCAATAAATTTTTACAGACTTTTTATGGCATGCGGGGTATCGTTTGAAAGGTCTTTTAAAATAGAATACGAATACTGCAATAAAATTTGATGCTACTATACAATTTAATACACAAAAATGTTAAATTTTATTGTCAAAATGTTAAAAATGTGTAAGACGTGAAACTTTTGTATCAAATTATAAAAATATTAAACAAAATTCAAGAACGTTTATCGAAAATAAGCACTGTGTTATTGCTTTTTTTATAAATTTATAGTAAACGAACCTAAAGAAGTTTTACTTCAATGAATTTTTACAGACTTTTTATGGCATGTGGGGTATCGTTTGAAAAGTCTTTTAGAATAGAATACGAATACTGTGATAAAATTTGAATTTAACATACAATTTAATATACAAAAATGTTAAATTTTATTGTCAAAATGTTAAAAATGTGTAAGACGTGAAACTTTTGTATCAAATTATAAAAATATTAAACAAAATTCAAGAACGTTTATCAAAATAAGCACTGTGTTATTGCTTTTTTTATAAATTTATAGTAAACGAACCTAAAGAAGTTTTACTTCAAGAAATTTTTACAGACTTTTATGGCATGTGGGGTATCGTTTGAAAAGTCTTTTAGAATAGAATACGAATACTGTGATAAAATTTGATGTTACTATGCAATTTAATACACAAAAATGTTAAATTTTATTGTCAAAATGTTAAAAATGTGTAAGACGTGAAACTTTTGTATCAAATATGAAAATATTAAACAAAATTCAAGGACGTTTATCGAAAATAGACACTGTTATTGCTTTTTTTATACATTTATAGTAAACGAACCTAAATAAGTTTTACTTCAATATATTTATACAGATTTTTTATGGCATGTGGGGTATCATTTGAAAGGTCTTTTTGAATAGAATACGAATACTAAAATAAAATTTGAATTTAGCATACAATTTAATATACAAAAATGTTAAATTTTATTGTCAAAATATCCAAATGTGCAAGACGTGAAACTTTTATACCAAATACTAATGATATTAAACAAAATTCAAGGACCTTTATCGAAAATAGGCACTGTAATTGCTTTTTTTTATAAATTTATAGTAAACGAACCTAAAGAAGTTTTACTTCAATAAATTTTACAGGCTTTTTATGGCATGTGGGGTATCGTTTGAAAGGTCTTTTTAGATAGAATACGAATACTGAAATAAAATTTGAATTACTATATAATTCAAATTTATACTATACAATATTCACTATACAATTTAATATTCAAAAAAATGTTTTCAAATTTTATTGTTAAAATATAAAAACGTGTGAGACATGAAACGTTTGTATCAAATAAATTAAAGAAAAAAACATCAAGGATATTTGTCAAAAACAGATTTCTTTATATAATTTTTCATGAATACGTAGTAAATGAATCTCAAGAAGTTTTACTTCAATAAATTTTTATAGTCCTTTTATGGTTTGTGGGATATCGTTTGAAAGGTCCTTTTGAATGGAATACGAGTACTGAAATAAAATTTGAATTACTATATAATTCAAATTTATACTATACAATATTCACTATACAATTTAATATTCAAAAAAAATGTTTCCAAATTTTATTGTTAAAATATTAAAACGTGTAAGACATGAAACGTTTGTATCAAACAAATTAAAGAAATAAACATCAAGGATATTTGTCAAAAACAGATTTCTTTATATAATTTTTAATGAATATATAGTAAATGAATCTCAAGAAGTTTTACTTCAATAAATTTTGTAGTCTTTTTATGGTTTGTGAGGTATCGTTTGAAAGGTCTTTTTGAATAGAATACGAATACTGAAATATAATTTGAATTTACTATACAATTTAATATACAAAAATGTTAAATTTTATTGTCAAAATGTTAAAAATGTGTGAGACGTAAAACTTTTATACCAAATACTAATAAATTAAACAAAATTCAAGGACGTTTATCAGAAATAGGCACTGTAATTGCTTTTTTTGATAAAATTATAGTAAACGAACCTTAAAAAGTTTTACTTCAATAAATTTTTACAGACTTTTTATGGCATGTGGGGTATCGTTTGAAAGGTCTTTTTGAATAGAATACGAATACTGAAATAAAATTCGAAATACTATATAATTCAAATTTATACTACACAATTTAATATTAAAAAAAATGTTTCCAAATTTTATTGTTAAAATATTAAAACGTGTGAGACATGACACATTTGTATCAAATAAATTAAAGAAATAAACATCAAGGATATTTGTCAAAAACAGATTTCTTTATATAATTTTTCATGAATATGTAGTAAATGAATCTCAAGAAGTTTTACTTTAAAAAACGTTAATAGACTTTTTATGGCATGCGGGGTATCGTTTAAAAGGTCTTTTTGGATAGAATACGAAGACTGAAATAAAATTTGATGTAACTATACAATTTAATATACAAAAATGTTAAATTTTATTGTCAAAATGTTATGTGTGAGACGTGAAACTTTTGTATTGAATACTAAAATTGAGAAATAAAGTTGAAGAATATTTGTCAAAAACAGGCTTGTTTATATCATTTTCAATATTCATTTCATGAATATGTAGTATATGAATCTCAAGAAGTTTTACTTCAATAAATTTTTATAGTCTTTTTATGGTTAAAATGTGGGGTATCGTTTGGAAGGTCTTTTTGAATAGAATACGAATACTGAAATAAAATTTGAATTACTATATAATTCAAATTTATACTATACAATATTCACTATACAATTTAATATTAAAAAAAAAGTTTCCAAATTTTATTGTTAAAATATAAAAACGTGTGAGACATGAAACGTTTGTATCAAATAAATTGAAGAAATAAACGTCAAGGATATTTGTCAAAAACAGATTTCTTTATATAATTTTTCATGAATACGTAGTAAATGAATCTCTAGAAGTTTTACTTCAAAAAATGTTTATATACTTTTTATGGCATGTGCAAGGTCTTTTTGAATAGAATACAAATACTGAAATAAAATTTGATGTTACTATACAATTTAATATAGAAAAATGTTAAATTTTATTGTCACTATAGTGTCGAATCTCAAGAAGTTTTACTTCAAAAAATGTATATAGACTTTTATAGCATGTGGGGAATCATTTGAAAGGTCTTTTAAACAGAATACGTAAAGTAAATTAAAATTTTGAATTTCGTGAATTTTTTATACAAAATTGCATAATCTATATCATAAAGCTCAACAAGACTCAGTATACTTAAAGAGCACTCATATATTGCTTTCTTAGGATTATTTACACTTATCGTGTACTTTGCCTTAAGGCTAAATGTAAATACCACTTAGGAAATAACATTTATAACTATAGTTTAAATTTAATTATTATATTTAT